GGCCCCCGCCCCGCGGGGGCCAGCGTCGCCGCTACCCGGGAGCGTCTGCGGCCCCGGCCCTGCGGCTCTGCCCTCCGGGCTGCTGTCCAGCGCCGCCTCCGCCCGCTCCACTCCGCTCCCCGGGAACAGCTCCGGCCCCGTGCCCGCGGCCCAGGGCCCCGAGCCCTGCTGCTGCCCGGGCCGGCTCTCCAGTTGCAGCTCCCCTGGAGTGCGCAGCTGCAGCCTGGCTCCGGGGCCTCCCAAGCTGCGGGGAGCCTAAGAATCACTGTCCTGCTGACAGCCCCGATCACTTTTGGCTTGTTTAGCGATGAGAGTGCTCCGTTGGCTCGACAGTAACCGCCAGGTCCTTCCCTGTAGTGCGGCCTGGACGCTTGTCTGTGTACTGTTGTTCTGTCCCCAGTGCAGAACTTGGCACTAGTCCTTGCTGAATTCATTCTGGTTTAGTGCAGAGCACTTGCCCACTCCATCTAGGTTGTTCTATCCTGTCCCAGCCCTCCAGTGTCTGCAGCTCCACCCAGTGCGGCACCAAAATTCACAAGTCTGCTCCGTGTGTACATGGTCCCATTGTCCAAATCATTAATGAAGATGTTGAGCAAGACGAGACCCAGAACAGACCCCCCGGGAACCCCACTTCATAGCTCCTCTCAACCAGACATTGAGCTGTTTGAACCCAGTGATCCAACCAGTTCTGTGCCCTTGCAGTACTTTCATCTGCTTTATTTCCTTCACTTGTTAGGAACCTCGTGGGAGACGGCTAAAGAAGTCTTGCTAAAGTCAGGGTGCATCACGTCCACTGCTTCCCCCAACCACAGAGGCTATCGTCTTATCATAGAAGGGAATCAGGTTGGTTTGGCATTTCTTGCTGTTGGTGAATCCAAGCTGGGTGTTCCTCATCATCACCTTGTTCCCCTCTAGATGCTTCACCCTAGCTTTCTTGAGGACCTGTTCCATGATCTTTCTAGGTATCAAAAGTCAGACTGGCAGGTCTGTAATTCCCCAGAACACCCCCATTTCTTTTCTTAGAGATGGGTACCATATTTGCCCTTTTTCAGCAATTCAGGACCTCACTTGACCTCCGTAAGTTCTCAAAGAGAGGAGAGTGGTCCTGAAATTCACTCAGCCAATCCTTTTAGTAGCCTAGGAAGCCTCCTGTCTGGCCCTGCTGACTTGAAAGTATCTACTTCTCTAAGTAATTCCTTACCTGTTCTTCAACTATGCGTGCTTGTTTGTTTCTGCCTGTCTGTGTTGCTGGCTGCACTTGTCATCTGGTAGCTGCCTTTATTTGTGAAAGCTGAAGTAAAATAAAGGCATTACTTCAGCCTTCTCACCATCCTCTGTGACTGGGTTGCCTTCCATATTCCATAAGGGACCTATATTTTCTTTGGTCTTTCTCTTGACATACTTTATCGCCTTTTATGTCCCTTTCCACTTGCACCTAAATCGTGCCATGGCTTTCCTAATTTTCTCTTTGCATGCCCATGTGATACTCCTCTACTGTTCCCTAGTAATATGACCGATTTTTCACTTGTTGTAGAATTCCTTTTTGAGTTTCAACCTGAATCTATTTTCCCACACCTCATGTACTTCAGTCTTGAAGGGAAATACCTTTTGATTTTCCTTGTAAGATCTACCTTTAAAGATCCAATATTAAGTTCAAATTATTTTAACTAATCAATGCCTCTCCCAGTAACCACTCTTGAATTATATGCCTTAAGAGGATACTTATCTTTTAAAAAGGAGGGGTTTTTTGGGTCCTGTTGCATCTGTTTTTGCTACATCTATATCATGCATTGTGATAACCCTGCATGTACCCTGTTTAACTGTAGTTCTGTCACTGCTCAAAGTTCTGTTTTTGAGGTACCGTGCAGGCTTTTGTAACATATTGCACAACTTGATCACAGCATTTCTGCGGTGGGGATGCAGCGCAGCCTTAATGCAATGGAATGGAGCAAGATGGAAATCATTTTGGAGTAGAAAGTACCTTAACAAGTGTATTTGGTTTGATATGTAGTTTCTTATTAATTGGAGAATTGGACCAAAAGAAATGTCATGAGATTCAACAAAGACACTCCTATCAATGCAGCCCAGTAGGCCCTTCTTTGCAGCAAGGGCACACTGTTGGCTCATATTCAGCTTGGCATCCACTGTAACCCCCAGGTCCTTCTCTGCAGAGCTGCTGCTTAGTCAGTTGGTCCCCAGGCTGTACCAGTGCTTGGGATTCTTCCATCCTAAGAGCAGGACTTTGCACTTGTCTTTGTTGAATCTCATGACATTTCTTTTGGTCCAGTTCTCCAATTTGTTGAGGTCTCTGAATCCTAGCCCTACCCTCCAACGTATCAAGTACTCCCCCCCACATTGGTGTTATCTTGAGGAGTGGCCACATCTGGAGTACTGTGTCCAGTTTTGGGCCCCCCACTACAGAAAGGAAGTGGAGAAATTGGAGAGAGTCTAGTGGAGAGCAACAAAAATGGTGAGGGGGTTGGGGGACATGACTTGAGGAGAGGTTGAGGGGTCTGGGCTTCTTTTCTCCAAACTAAATAAGACTGAGGGGGGATTTAATGGCAGCCTTCAACTACTTGAAGGGTGGTTCCAAAGAGGATGGAGCTAGAGACTGTTTTCAGTGGTGGTGGATGACAGAACAAGGAGTTGGATATTAGGAAAAAACTTTCTCACTAAGGGGGTAGTAAAACACTAGAACAGATTACCTAGAGAGCTTGTGCAATCCCCATCCTGGAAGTTTTTAAGATACGGCTAGACAAAACTTTGGCTGGGATGATCTAATTGAGGATGGCCCTGCTTTGAGCAGTGTTGGATGAGATGACCTCTTGGGGTCCCTTCCAACCCTAATTTTCTGTAATTCAATGAAATGGAGACCACTAAATGTTTCTCTTCAGGTCCCCTGTAAACAATCAGATCAAGCAACATGATTAGTCAGTTTGTTGTAGAGGCTTTATACTAATTGAGTATGAGCATACAGCTGTGCCTGACTTCTGTTTCTTTTCACAGCATGCAAGGTTTAGTGACTTAGAACTGTCAGAAATATCCATCAGGTTGGTGGGTAAATAAATAAAGGATTTCTTTTTCTAATCTAGAGCTTCAAGTAGAAAAAGAACACTTATAGTAATTAAGAAATAATCCAAGCAAAACCAACTAGCCCTGTCTTGTGCTGTGTTTACTGGAAGTTTGGAAAACAGTTAACATTTGTTACTAGGCAATGGAGCAGGTGGTATGAATGAGCTTTTAGGATTTTATTAGCCATTCTTGAAGCTTGTAACTATTACATAAATTTGGCATACCTGGCATTTATGACTTGGGCATCGATTTGAAGGAGAAGATGACAGTAGAAGAAGGTTTGGTGTTCTCTTGGAGTTTCAGTGGAAGCATAAAAAATAATGGAATAAAAAGCTGGCAATCATGAAATATCTGTACAGTTCATAATTTCGGAAGGAAAAAAAATCAAGTTATAAAGAACTAGTAATTGTATACTTAGGTGCCGTGTGTTGAGTGTGGTAGTAGATTTAGTTGTTTTAAAAAAGGCTTTAAGGATGCTCATGTGAATACTTTTTTTTCCCTTCCATGTAAAATTGGTGCTGTGATGATCTTATGCTTTGAGATTTTCATCCTGATCTTTATCAGGTCACCTGATGAGGAATGTCTTGCATTCAGAAGCTATTCTGAACATGTAGTTGGTCCAGTAAAAGACCACCCCAAAATTAGCTCTGATTATTCTAGAGACTTCTGAAACTCACAAACTGGTCAGGCATCTAGAACTCATGGGAAATACTTTCCACATGCAAGCACTTGTAAAATTTCAAAATATTCTATGTACTGATAGTCCAGAGCAAATTGTACACTTGATTCAGTATGGTTATTCCACTGGGAGTATAAATGGAAAGCATAGCTAAGTGAGTTCTCTTTCTCTGGCGTAGTTCCAGAGTGGTGCT